TAATATTATGTTTGTTGTTGCCATCGTTATTTTTGTTTGTACTATTATTATTATTATTATTATTATTATTATGTACTATTATTATTATTATTTTTATTATTATTATTGTTGCTATTATTATTATTATTACTGTTATTACTATTATTACTCTTATTACTATTTTTATTATTATTATTTGCATTTAGTGTTCGTATTAGTCTTAGTATTATTGCCACCATTATTATTATTTTTGATATTTAGGATCTACACTCACCATATATATATATATGCATATAGATCTATATATATATATGTATATATATATGCATATATATATATATATATATATATCCTAGCTGAACACAATAGAAATATATATTATTCTATCTAACCCCACAATATACACCATATGATCTAAACGCATGATACGTATATTGTCTAAAGTGTAAATTATATATATATATAATTTACACTAACAATACACGAAAAAGTATATATTTATATATATTATCTATACACAAATATATATATATATATATTATCTATACACAAATAAATATGTATGTATATATATACATTATCTATGCACAAAGCATAGAGTACATTACGTAAACCCTTTAAAAGTATTATTAATTATGCATGCCATACAGTATGTATAATATAATTATATATATCATCTAAATGAAACACATAAAACATATTTTAGTAGGGTAGTATATGCTATTTTATTACATCTAAGTATATACTATACATTATATTATATTTATATATACAACTCATATCTAATAATATCGATCTACGGCTGCAGTTGCATGCATATATTCAGATACCAGGGGCAGCTATGGTGTACAGTATGGTTTGGTTTATCTCTAGAGACAGTATCCTTAGTTGCTGCTGCTGCTGCTGCTGCTGCTGCTGCTGCTTTTGCCTCGTGCTGCTCTTTCCGCTGCGCAGTTCCGGGGGTGTTGCTCTTGGCAGCAGTCTGTACACCCTGGAGCTTGCCCTATCTACGGCTAGCTACGGCTAGCTACAGCTAGCTACAGCTAGCTAGAGGGCGGACAGCACAAAACCCTTTCTCATGGGGGTGTTATTGAGGGAAGTATACCTCGTTAAAGATGTATTATGAGGTGATTAGATGCAGCAAGACACATCTCAAGTGTATCTCCAGGTGTATTATAAATATTGATTCTTAAGTTAAGCTATATCTTGTTGTAACACCGCTCTCTTGAAGCCAGAGCCTGCAGCAATAGGCAGTTAGAATCGCTGCACCATCGATCATAAGATCTAAGCCCTAGAACCCTACCTTGCTGCTGCTGCTGCTGCTGCTGTTGCTGCTGCTCCTGCTTTGCTGCCAACACTTCTGTAGTTCCCCAGCATGCATGAGCGCATGCGCATGCAGGAGAGTATCTATAAGCAGAGCGAGAGAAGCCTGATTTTGCTGCGTTTGTGAGGGTTGGTTGAGGTTTGCAGCCCTACTACTACTATAGGGTATCCATCAGCAGTTACGTTGCTGGAGTGTAACAGCAGCTTAGAGCGCCAATAAGAGCAGCAGAAGCCTTAAAGTAATGGAATAATAAACAAGATAAACAAATATATATCTTGTGGGGTCTTAAAAGAAGAAGAATAAGACACAACTGCTCTCCCTATAGCCAGGGAGACGGCCGGTTGCTCGTCGGGCCCCATTAACTAGTGTTGTCTAGCACCGCTGAGGAAGAAGAGAGAGATTTTGAGGGTTTTGTTTGCTTTATATTGCCTTAAAATGCCTTTAAGGCAAATAGTATTGTCTTTTTCTTGCATATTTCAATTATTATAACTTCTCCCCCCCTCCTCCTCTCTTTATTTTTGTTCCGCTACCCACTGGCCGCTCGCCCGCCCACAGCCGTCTCAGCCGCTCTCGCAGGGAAATATTGTTTATTTTGAGTTATTTATATTTGTTTTCTTTTTTTCTTTATTTATTTTTAATATTTAAACTCAGTTTCAAAAGAAGACGCCCTGAAGAAAGCGGTATAAGAGAGGCGAAGGGCTCGCATAGCCGGCACACCTGCATGAATTGTGTTGTGTGTCTCGGGGAGAGGGTTTGTTTCTGCATATTTTCTTTCAGAAGTAATTAAATAATGTTCTTTAAATTGATTTTATGAATTCAATTTTTTAATTAATTCTTTTTTTTACGGTCTGCCTAGCAGGGGAGTATCTTATCTTACTGCATTAGGCTGCCGCTGAGCTGCTCGCAGTGTTGTTGCTGTTACCAGCAAAGAAAAGAGCAGAAGAATTAATTTTCTTTCTTCCTTCCTATTTATTTTCTCTTATTTTACCCTTTTATTACAGCTTCATCCTTTGTTTGAAGTTCTATTTGACTAGCTGGTCTACACCCAGGGGGCCAACACCCACGCCTCGAGGTCACCATCTCCTGTCGCTCTCTGCTTTTCTTGCTTTTTCTCTGAGCTTAAACAAAAAAATCTTCTTATAAAACCCCAACTACTTAAAGCAAATAACAGCTCTTCTCCTTCTACCCCTACCTCAGCTCGGGATACAGAGAAGACAGACAACAGGCGCAACCATCTACACAAAACTCCTGTAAGCAACACCATCAAGACTAACAAAAAAAATTAATTTAATGCGTATCAAGACACCCTTATAAGTGCTTACTCTGTCTCCCTTTGCAAGCAGCTCCGTCATTGCTTCAAACCTCTATACACAACTTTTCTGCTAATACCTTTTCACTCAGCTTTCTTTCATAATAATAAACTCCAAAGGGGGCCCCCAGGGGCCCCCTACCTTCTTGCCTGAGTGGCTGCTATGGGTGTTGCAACTGTCTCTAAGCACTGAGAAGATCTACTCATTTAGTTCCTACCAAGGGTAATGGAGACAGCATAATTCATGTGTACGTCTCTGTCTCTTTTCTCTGTCCCCCTTTTGTTTTGTTTGTGTTTGCGTTATCTCTACTTGTTTATAACACCTCTGTTTGTTTTTCTTAATCTTTTATTTCGTTGCTTACGTTCATTTTGGCCGTCTCCTTTATTATTATTATTATTGCTGCGCTCGCTTTGTTTATCTTTGTTTCTTTGATTTGTACGTATCATATATATGATATATATATGATGTATATATATATATATATATGTATTGCTGTTCTTCTAATCAATTGTTTGTTTTTCTTTCTTATACAGTTAGGTTCTCTTCTCCTATGCCATGAGGCAGAGCCGCAGAGACAGTGCGGCTCTGTCTCGTCTCCGTCGTCGGAGCAGCATCTCTTACCAGTGTCCCTCTTCACTGTCTATTGTCTCCTTAGGGGCCCAAGGGGGCCCCTCAAGCCTCTCCAGTGGTGTTAGCAGCAGTAACTGCACGTCTAGCAATGGGGCTGTTGCATGCGCCCGCTGTCTCAGCCGCCGGGTTGCTGACCCGGGGGTCTCTAATACCAATTTAATTAGAAGTATTTCTTCAAGATCTCGTGTTGCCTTTCATTCTAAAGAACAACCAAACAGCTGTCCTGCTGAGGCCCCACACTGGACAGAACGCAGCAGCAGCAGCACCAGCGGCAGCAGTAGCAGCAGCAGCAGCACCAGCGGCAGCACTAGCAGCAGCAGCAGCAGCAGCGGCAGCAGTTGTGCGCTCCCGCACTGCCTCAAAATGTCGACCCGGGGCCCCCTTCGTCGAGTGTCTCCTCCAGGCCCGTGGGGGCTTTCATTGCTTGTGGGGCTGTGGCTCGCACTATGCGGCTTCAGAGGAGAGTATGCATATGCGGAGGAGACAGCAGCAGCTGCAGAGAGAGCAGCAGCAGCAACTACTGCTGCGGGGACTGACTGTCCCCTCATGGACTCCAGCTGTCTCCTCAACTACACTGTCGCAGCCCCTGACTACTTCTACCGAAGGCGTCTAGAGGCTCCCGCTTCCCCAATAGCCATTCGGGAGCCCTCCGACCAGCAGCAACAAGAACAGCAGCACCAGCAGCAGCAGCAACAGCAGCCGCAGCAGCAGTCTAATCCGTTATTAAGTGAGTCAGAGGTGTTTGAGTTTGCGGTGCGTCGACTGCAAGGAATGGGGTCTTTGTTTGCTTCACCTCGTCCGGGGTCTTCTGGGGGTCCTTCATCTTCTTTAGGGGAAGGGGGAGGTGTGGGGCGTCGCCGATCCCAGCAGCAACAGTCTTCTTCTTCTTCGTCTTCTTCTTCTTCTTCTTCTGCTTCTTCATCTCTACCTCTTGAATTAGGAGATCCATTAGAAGGAGCATCAGGAGGGGGTAGTGTTGGTGGTGGTTCTCGTCCTTTATTAGAGAGTAATGGGTTGATATGTGAAGATGATGAAAGAGTAGAGGACTTTGGAGTGAAGTGTCGTCTGATTGCACGATCTTTAGGGGGTCGTTTAGGGTGTGAGAAGAGATTAATAGATATATCACCAGACGGAAGATTACCTGCAAATATCCCTGTGTTTAGCAGAGTAGCAGATGCTTGTCCTATGACATGTGGGCTTTGTGAAGAATGCGCCCCAGGGTGTGCTCTATGGTTTCTAGGAAATACACTTTGTGATGATGTTTGTAATAATGCTGCATGCCAATTCGATGGAGGAGACTGCTGGAGTGCAGATTGTGTTGTCGCTCCCTGGGCAGAGTGGTCTCCTTGCAGCGTCACATGTGGGGGCCCCGGCATTGAACGTAGAAAAAGAGAAGTCCGCAGCAGAGCTAAACAAGGGGGGGCCCCCTGCCCTAAGCTTGAGGTAAACCTTCATCACCCCAACTGTACAGATACAAAAATATTCCTAATGCAATGCATACATTGCATGCATGCAATGCATGCAGTGCATGCAATGTACACGGTGCATGCAATACATGCAATGCATGCAATGCATGCAGTGCGTGCGATGCATGCTATGTATGCATGCGACCCCTGTCTTTCATGACGACGGTGTATCGGTACTGAAAGCCCTATCAATAGCCACACTGAGGCAAATAATAAATACTTAATACATATATATATAAGGATAAGAATGGTGTCTACATGTCTCACTGAAATATGCAGATACAGGGGGCTTTCTTTGGTAATAAACTCATAGCAACAGACTGTATGGTAGCTCCCGCCTGCTTTTGCATGCAGCTGCTGCCTCCTGGTGTTTGTTTGTAGTGTCGCGTTGTTGAGGCATTGAGCTGAGTTTGTGTATGCAGGAAGTAATGCTTGCGTCGATGTGTAGGTCTGAAGTTCCTCTGTCCCCTTGTGTCTTTATTTTTCTGTCTCTGTCTCCTTTTGTCTTCACAGGAGACAAGACAAGGCTGCAACGCAGACGTACCCTGCCCCAGCCACTGTCAAGTGGGCCAATGGACCGAGTGGTCCGCCTGCTCCCACCCTTGTGGGCCTGGAGTCAGCAAGAGAGAAAGACCAGTGCTGCAGGAACCAGACACAGAAGGCAAGCTTCTGCTGCTGCTGCTACTGCTGCTGTTCCTGCTGCTGAAGTTTCTGCTCTTGCTGCTGCTGCTGCTACTGCTGCTGTTCCTGCGGCTGAAGGTGCTGCTATTGCTGCTGCTAGTGCATCTGCTGCGGCTGAGAGTGCTGCTACTGCTGCTGCTGCGGATGAGGGTGCTGCTGCTGCTGCTGCTGCTCCGGCTGAGGGTGCTGCCACTGCTGCTGCTGGGGCTCCCACGGCTGAGGCTGCTGCTGCTGCTGGTGCTACTGCTGGTGCTACTATTGTGGTGCTGCTGTTGTTGCTGCTGTTGTTGCTGCTGCTGATGCTGCTGCTCGTGCTGCTGCTGGTGTTGCTGGTGCTGCTGCTAGGGCTGCTGCTGCTGCTGCCTTGTCTCGTTGCAGCTTAGCAGCAGCGATGTCTGCTTGTCTGTTGCTCTGTTATCTGAAACTGTCTCCGCCGCTCTTCTGTCTCTTTTTTTGTATAAAATTGTCTCTTTGAAGTTACCGTGAACATAGAAAGGGCAGCTAAGCAATAACAACGGAGACATCGACTAGGAAGTCCCCTTATTGGGTCTCATTAAGAGGTAGTTACTATATATTTGCCTCTGTCTCCTTCCTTTAATTGGGGTGTATGTACAGGTCAAGAGTGCCCCGAACTGCAGCAGGAGCGCCGCTGCTACCTGAGTGCATGCGCCTCTGATTGCATAGTGAGCGAGTGGACAGAATGGTCTGCATGCGGGGCTTCTTGCGGAGGGGGTCAGCAGACAAGACAGCGAAGTGTGTTGTCTCCTCCTGTAGAAGATGGGGCTGCATGCCCTCAGCTATTGGAGACACGAGAATGTAACACCTTCTCTTGTGATGGTGGCTGTCATGTGGGGGAGTGGGGGGAATGGACGGAGTGCAGCAAACCGTGTGAAGGCGGCAGCAAGACAAGAACAAGAACAGTGCGTGCTCTAGAAGCAGATACAGACTGTCCCCCGAGCACTCAGACAGCTCCTTGCAATCTTCATGACTGCGGTAAGCAACAATTGAACCTGTTGAGATGTACAGACCCCTGTCTATCCCTCACAAGCACCACTTATTTGATCTTACGTTCTATTATAACCCAGCTACAGTCTGTCGCTGCAGTGTCTTCTTGTCTCTTCGTCTCAGCAGCAAACTCCACCTGTGCTGCACCATCTCCCCGATCGCTGTCTCCTCCTCTTCCTTTTAGGTGTCTCCTGCAGCAGTCTCTAAATCTGTTTCCATGTGCATGCTGTCTCTCTGAACCTTGTGGGGTTGCTTATATTTTGCTGCTGTCTTCCCTCTGCAGCTATTGACTGCGTAGCGTCGGAGTGGAGCCTATGGACAGCCTGCGATGTACCCTGCGGTATTGGGAGCCAAAGGAGACTGCGAGAAGTGCTGCAGGCCCCCAAGGGTGCAGGAGAGATGTGCCCGCCTCTTGATCAACTCCGGCCTTGTGATAAGGGGCCCTGCAAAGTTGACTGTCTCCTTAGTGATTGGTCAACCTGGAGTGAATGCTCCCATCCTTGTGGCCTTGGGGAACAACGCAGAAGCCGTTACGTAATAGAGGCCCCATCGGAGACAGGCAAATCTTGTGGTGCGCTAGAGGAAACAAAACCCTGTGGAGGGCATTGCCCACCCAAGTGTATTCTCAGTGACTGGACTGAGTGGGCCTCCTGCAGTGCTCTGTGTCAGCAGGTAGGCTGAGCTGTATATACACCTACCACAGCGGCATGTACACCCGGCATAACTGCATCTGCATGCAGAAACAGATAAAACTGACGGACATGCGAACCAACCATCGCACTGGTTGACTTCTGCTTTCCTTTAAGCAGCTCCGCTGCACCAACACGATCTGCAATCTTTAGGCATCGCGCTGCACTGCAGCGGAGCACACGCCTTGAGTCATGTAGCTGTGCATACACCTGAATTCATTCATAGTTGCTGAGAACGCGTCTTTGGAGAAGATGAAGCCTTTTTGGAAGAATTAAGAAAAAGACAGGCGGCAAGAGATAAAAGGAGCTGAGGCTCTTTAGCTGCTACAAGAACAATATCAAAGTATGGCTGGAGTGTCTGTGCTGTCCCGTTTAACAGGTTGGTGCGACCAACCCCACAACAACGCGTAGTCGTGTGGTGTTGCTGGAGGCCCCTGACTGCCCGAGTGCTTCTAATTTAACTGAGTCTCTCCTTTGTTCTTCCTTGGGGTTTCGCTGCGACGTTGACTGCCAGGTAAGCCCCTGGTCTCAGTGGTCTTCGTGCAGCAAGCTATGTGGGGGAGGCACTCGTCGGCGTACACGGGAGATAACAAGGGTGCCTCAGGGAAACGGTAAAGCATGCGGGGAGTTGGCTGAGGAGGCCCCCTGTGCAACAACTCCTTGTGAAGAGATAGCAGGACAAGCAGTTCAAGACTGTGTATGGGGAGAGTGGTCAGAGTATGGGCCTTGTGATGCTGCATGCGGCCCCGGAAGAAGGCGCTCCTCCCGAGTTGTCCTTGCCTTTCCTAAAGACGCCAATGGAAGAGTAATGCAGCATCTCTGTACTGAAGCTGACCGCTTCGTAGCCTGTCAGGGGCCTCCTTGCCGTGAGCTAAGCACCAACAACTCCTTTAATACTCTCGTACTTAACGCCGAAAAAGAAATTCAAACATCATCCGGTAGCAGCGCTTGCAGGCTGATCGCTATCATTCACCTCCAACCCGAAAAAGAGGCACCAGATCGCATTGCCCTGGACATCTATATATATATATATATATGTATATATTTATATATATGTGAATATATACATAATATATATGTATATATATACATATATATACACGCACAGACAGAGCTGCATATATATATGTATATATATATATATATATGCATATATATATGTATATATTGTATATATATATTATATATATTGTCTATATATATACATATATTGTGTATATATATGTATATTTACTTATTTGTTTATACATATTCGTCTCTCTCTGCCAGTCGCTGCAACGCCTCTCTTTGTGTTTGTTTGGAAGAGAAAATGCTTTCCTTTTTGTCTGTCTCTGTCTCTGTCTCTTGCGGCTTCAGCGGTGGACTGCCAGGTGACTGCTTGGGGGGAGTGGAGTAGCTGTACAGCCACCTGTGGGGGCGGCCAGCAGCAGCGGCAGCGGTCGGTGGTAAGGCAGCCGGCGAACGGAGGCCGCGAGTGTCCTGTTCTTACTGAGACCCAAGTGTGCGGTTCATACCCATGTCGTAAGCACCACAAACCCTCCCTTTCATGCAGCCGCACTGGTAGTAGCAGCACCAGCAGCACCAGCAGCACCAGCAGCACCAGCACAAGCACCACCAGCAGAAGCCGCAACAACAGCAGCAAGAGCAGCACCAGCACGAGCAGCAGCAGGAGGAGTAAGACACGGATGAAGCAGAGGGACTGCAGGACTATGATATGATGTGTTGAGTACTCGGACTGAGATCTTTGGGTTACATTGTGCAGCAAGAGACTGCGAGATGTCTCCTTGGAGCGAGTGGTCTGCATGCTCCGCCCCATGTGGGGAGGGACAGATGCATCGATCGCGGCGTATTACTTCAGCTGCCTCTGTAGACCCCCCAGGCCTTGCATGCGGCCCCACTCGTGAGGAGGCCTCCTGCTTCTCCCCTGCAGGCCCCTGTCCCTCAGACTGCGAGCTGGGGGAGTGGAGTGAATGGAGTGATTGCTCTGCTCTCTGTGGAGGCGGCACGCGTCAGAGGTTCCGCAGTGTGGCGGCGTTTGAGATAGGGGGGGGCCGGCCTTGTACAGGCAACAAGGAAGATGCAGAGGCCTGCAATCTGCAGCCCTGTGCGCCCTCTTGCCCTGTGAGTGACTGGAGTGAATGGACAGAGTGTTCGTCTAGTTGTATGCCTGCGGACGGCACTGAGACGACACGCCGCCGCTACAGAGAGGTCTTAAAAGAACCCCCAGCGCATGCAAAACATATATGCCCCCCTGTAGAAGAAGTTCAAAAAGGTTGTAATGCAGATATACCGTGCCCTATAGACTGTGCATACACCCCGTGGACCAGCTGGGGAGAGTGTGAGGGGGAATGCGACGTGGGTCAGCAGCGGAGAAGCCGCCGCATTCTTTCCGAGGCAGACTTTGGAGGGGTCCCTTGTGCGGAGACAGAGCAAACTGCAGACTGTGCATTGGAGACAGTTTGTATAAGAGACTGTGTCTTAAGCAACTGGTCAGAATGGGGGCCCTGCAGTGCTACATGCGGGGGCGGCTACAAACAGAGACACAGAGAGGTATGCAGTTTGTGGGCTTGCGAAAGCCTGCTCCACTGTCTTCAGTTGCAACAAGGGAGAAAGTAGCAAACAAATGCAAAATAAAGAGACACTTTTGCTGTGCTATGGTGGAGGCGTCAGTGCTGAAGCCACTAATATGTGTCTGTACTGCGCTCCCTATAAGAGGTAGCGCCTCTTGACCTACTACCAACGCCCTCTCTCTGCTGTATTTGCGTATGCTACAGAGATGCTGCCCTTCCTATGCATATATTTTTAGCAGTAACATGTGCTGTATCATTATGTATGACGTTGTCATATTCTATACACAACAATTCCACTGTATTGTGTTGCAGTGTACTGTATTGTCTTGATTTCTATTGTTATTTTGTATTGTATAATATTGTACTGCTTTGTTCCCTTTTGCTTTATTTTGTTTTGTATTGCATTGTTTTGTTTTTATTTTATTTTGTTTTGTTTTTTGTTTTATTGTGTGATATGTTCTTTTGTACTAAGTTATGTTGTGTTGCCTTGCATTGTGTTGTGTTGTTTATTTCTTTATCGCTGTGTGATTCGATTAATTTGCGTTTCATTCAATTGTTTTTCTTTGTTTTACTGTGTTGAGCTGTATTGCATTTCGTTGCGCTGTATTGTCGTACGCTATTTTATGCTGCATAATATTATTTTGTTTTGTGCTGTACTGCCTTGCACAGGTGTTGGAGGCTCCAGTGAACGGAGGAGACCCGTGCGGCTCTCTTGAGGAGTTTGAACCTTGTGCAGAAATTAGTTGTTTCGGTTCCGACTGTAAGGTATCAGAATGGAGCGAGTGGGGTGCATGCAGCAAAGAGTGCGGTGGAGGTGTGCATACACGCGAGCGGCAGGTGCTGCTGCCTCGCACTGGGAACGGGATCGACTGTCCCGAGCTGCAGCAGCGCCGGGGCTGCGGCCTCCACCGCTGTCCAGGGGTCCCTTGTGAAGACAGTCCAGATGTACCTCTGTTGACTGGGGTAGAGTGCAAAGTGCTGCTGGCAATGGGGTGTCACCGCAGACTGCAAGAGCTAGCGGAGGAGAACAATCAACCCTTCCCTGAGGACCTTCCCCCGGAAGTACGTGTCAGTGATGCATGCCCTAAGACATGTGGGGTATGCGCAGAGTGCGCCCCAGGCTGTCAATTAAGAGACTTAGGAAACAGACACTGCGATGAACCCTGCAACAACGAGGCTTGTCAAATGGATTTAGGCGACTGCGGAGGAGACTGCGCTATAGGACGGTTGCCACCGGGGCTGAGACTGGAGCCTGCAACTTCTATGATGACGGAGGGACAGACTCTGATAGCGAGTTGCGCAGACCCCGATATGCGGCTGTCTCCTTTCTCCTCTATGAGGCAGCTAGCCATCACTTGCGTGGGCAAAGGCGAATTCGCCCTCGAACCTCCGGATCTTGCTCTAAACAAAGACGAAGAAGAAGGCCTCTTGCTGCCCTCGTGTGCTCCAGATCCCTGTCCATTCATCTCTGTCAGTGGATTCACTGGGGAAGCCACTCCATTCAACGGCATCTTCTTAAGAGGAGACCCCCATGGCAGTATGCCCCGCTTCTTACAAGACACACTAAGCCCCCCTGCTCACTTTCTATGGGCGCAGGAAACATCCCCCCCAAATGGAAGCAAACAAAGCAAACGAATCATCTGGCGTATCACCCAGGCAGACCCCAACACTGCAGCACAAAACTCGGGACTCACTGCAGCAGCAACGGGGGGAGATTGCGTTGCGGAGACAGCTGGAGGAGATGCAGCTGTAGGGTGCACAGACAGCTGGGAAGTGGGTGTTGCAGGGAGCGACAGCAGCAGCAAACCCCAACGCGCCACCTTCAAATGCATTGATGAGGAGACGCGTGCAAAGCTAGAAGCGCAGCAGCTAGAACCAGAGGAGTCAGAAGAGGAGCGAACAGTGCCGCAGGGGCCCCCAGTGACGGTTGTTGCTGGAGTAGAGATGGTCTGTGAGGACCAGCAAGAAGTGCAAGAGAAGTCGGGCAAATCTTGTGAGGCTCTTAAGAAGATGCTCAAGTGCGACTTCTTGTTAGCAGATGCAGGAGTGGATCTCCCCTCCTTTCTGCCCCCAGACGCAACGCTTGCTCTCGCCTGCCCCCAGACCTGCGGTCTTTGCAAGCAATGTGCCAGGGGCTGTCCCTTGTGGTTCCTAGGAAACAGACATTGCGACCAGGCCTGCAACGTCCCGGCATGTCAGTTCGATAAGGGAGACTGCGGCAACACGCGCCCGGTTGCTGCAGCACAGCAGCAAGACGCCGAGGCAACAGACGAAGAAGACGAAGAGGAATTCGTTCCTTTAGGCCCCGACGAACCCCACAAGCAGCAGCAGCAGCAGCAGGAAGATGAGGAAGAAGACGAAGACGATCCCGCGACAGCCTGCGAAGACGATCCCCAAGTCAAGGCTATGGGATTTACATGCAAAGTCCTCTACGCTGTCGCTGAAGGGACCCCTGAGGGCTGCAACAGTCGCCTGCAGGATCTGCGCCCAGACGAGGCCCTGCCCCCTGGAGTACCGCCCATCACAAGGGTTAAGGACGCCTGTCCCAAGACGTGCAGAGCTTGCAACGGTATGCTGGCTAGACAAGCACTGAAAAAATGCAGAGATGCATTTTCCATCAAGTAGACAGGAGACAATAATCTGCATCCACAGATAATAGAATGGATCGACGTCAGCTTGAAAAAACAGCAGAAACGAGGCAGTGCAGTGTATGTACAGTGCAAGGAAAATTAAACAGATTCCCCTCACTGATTGCTGTCTGAAGGTGCGTCTTGGAACTGTGGGCTATTTGCGCAGACCCTGACAGACTGCGGCGCCCTGGATCGCGAGCAGCAGATTCAGATTCTTGCCAAGACGATCCTTTAGTGACGGAGATGGGCTACAGCTGCAAGCTGCTGCTGGCTGTAGCTGAAGAGGAAGGAGAAGGATGCGAGGCCCGGCTTATAGACCTCAAGCCCGATCAAACGCTGCCACCCGGCATCCCCCATCAAACGAGGGTTAAGGATGCCTGTCCTAAGACGTGCAACGCATGCGATGGTACGTTGTCGTCTTACACTGGGGGGTTAAGAGGCCCTTTCTCCCGCAGTTCAGAACCTGAAGGAATATATTAACGAGCGAAAGCTCTTGTGAATGATCGGCCCCACACCTACCCTACCGGGCACCAGGCAGAGCACCAAACGCACAAAAGGCAGCGTTTGTTCTAACCAGCAAGAAAGAGAGCCTTTTGTTTGTACATACATAGGACAGAGTGTATTCTAGCAAACAAGAGAAACACCTTCTGTCTGTTCATCGGCTGCTCACTCCATTCTAGCTGCCTGGTGCGGCAAATGGAGAGCCGGTCTGTCATTGAGATGAGGCTCTTTCTCGGCTTGAGGCTTGCGCTGCAGATTCTCTGCTGTATCTCTGAATGAGAATCTATTAAATGCAGCTAGTGAAGTGTTAAACCCTTGGAATCTAAACCCTAGGCCCTTATCCCTTTTGTTAGAAACATATTTTTTCTGTCGTTCTATGGTACAATCATGCGACCGAGTTGCACAACCTGTAGTGTATGCCGCTGTCCTCAGATCCTACGAGGCTGCAGCGGCCTTCAAACCCTCCTGGGGCTGCATGTACGGACTTTGAGTTTGTGGGGGAGGCGGGTTCTTCATGCAAGTTACTGTTGACCCTTGCTCAGTCCCAGGGCCTTGGGGGGTGCTCAGCACCCCTTTCGGCCTTGTTAGAAGAGAAGCATTGGCCTCAAGGAACCCCATCTGACATTACACTCGGCGACGCCTGTCCACACACTTGCGACTACTGCGACGGTGAGTGCAGCAAGACATCACAGCAGCATCACTCCACGCTATCAGCAACAGCACAAAACCCCTCGTTAGCATACGCACCAGTGGCAGCAGCCAGCCCCTCAGCCAAGCTATCCTTAGATGAAGACAGCGCTGTGCCTTCTGCGCATTCTCTAGGGAAGCGCAGACAAAGCCCTGGGTTATACATAAATTCTGGGAGTCGCATCTCACGAAGTTCTTGCGATATCCCTCCCTTCATATATAAGGTTTCATAATTACATATGTACTTATATATCTGCATTTCTATATGAGGGCATGGGATGATTTCTGATAGCTTCCATTCTCTCCCTTCTGAGATGTACATGTCCTGCAGAGTCCGTTCTGGTGCGTATGCGCCCGCCGGTTGACGAGGAGCCGAGCTGTCTCGGGGGCTGCTGCGACAACAAAATGGTGGAGCAAGAGACAGGTGGGCGGGTTGACCCCAGCAAGCCGTTGTCCCCCAGCTGTAGCAGCCGAGCACCCAAGAGGCTTGCCTCCTATCTTTATTAATTTCAGGTGTCACCGGCCAAGCAAATGTGAGCTGCTGCTGGCGTTTTGATTTGCCTCTTCTCCTCTATCAGGCTACACATGCCGGCAGATTAAGGACTTTTTGAACGGCGACTGCTCCGTCGAATTGGTGTCTCTCTCCAGCACGCCGCTGCCCCCTGAAGTACCCAAAGGGGCAACGTTGCGAGACGCCTGCCCGTACACTTGCGGCGCTTGTCCTGCTCAGCAGTGCGTAGACAATCCAATGGTTCAGCAAATGGGGTACTCCTGCGACATGCTGATTGCTGCAGCAGAGGGAAGAGGAGGCTGTGAGGCCCTTTTGTCTTCACTCAGCGGCGAACCGTTACCTGCCGGAGTTCCTCCCACCACCCGAGTCCGCGATGCATGTCTCAAGTCCTGCAATGCTTGTCCTCCTCTCTTTTCTAGCGGTGGAGGGCCGGAAACAGCAACTGCAGCAGGCGGTGCAGCGGCAGCACCAGACTGCTTCGACGACGGCCGTCTCCCTCAGCTGGGGTATTCTTGCGCAATGCTTCTTGACTTTGCAAGTAAGGGTTGTGAAACAACTCTGGGGGAGCTGCTGCCCCAGTCCCTCTCTCTACCCCGCCACCTGCACCGCCACGATATGATCAAGGACTTCTGCCCCAAGACGTGCGGGCTCTGCGGAAGCTCTCTTGGGGGTGGAGGGGCCGTAGACGCAGCTGGACGGCGCCGGGGCTGCCGCAACAACCCCATGGTGGAGAGAGCTGGCCTCAGCTGCGCCCTTCTCGTGAAGGCGTCCCCTCTTGGATGCAATGCCAAGCTGGCTGACCTCAGCGACGACCCTCTACCTCCAGGGGTCCCTCCGAGCGCCACCGTGCGCGACGCGTGCATGCTTGACTGCGGGGGCTGCATAGATGTCCCAACGTGCTTTGACGGTTTTCAGAATGGAGACGAGGAAGGCATTGACTGCGGAGGCCGTTGCAGGCCTTGCGCTCCCTGTGACCCGTCTCCCCTCAAGGCCCTTGGGGAAGGCGTCATTCAGGAGGGGAGGGGCACAGCCCATGGAGCCACGCGCAGACTTTCGTGTAAGGCCGAGTTTGTGCGTGTAGCTGGTAGAAACGGAGAAGAGGTAATTTGCCAAGATGGAACCTTTAGCAAGCCGAAACTTCGCTGCGAACCCAGAACCGTCACTGTTCAGTATATCAAGGCTTACATACGAAATGCAGGGGTAAGGAGACAGCGTCTAGCCCTGGCTTGAGAGTCATTGTGTGCTGAATCTGCATGCATGAGGAGAACGAGAGGCCAGCACAACTCTAGAAGTGACCAAGTGTGCTTTCCTCGACACCAGATGCTGCCCAGCAACAAGTTCGTCTCGTGCTTGTTTCTTCATGGAAGGAAGCACTTACTTAGCGTTGCTGCTGCTATTGCTTGCTCCAAATGTTGCCTTTGGCTCAGGACCTGCAGTATGGAGCTGTACCGGCTCTTTTTGCTGCTCTCTCCTCGGCCCTGCGGGTGCAGCCGCCAGATGAGTTGCGGTTGCTGGCGGTTGGGCTCGACCGGAGGAACGACAGCATGAGAGCCTCTGGGGTTTGTGAGGACGACCCTCGTGTTGTAGAAATGGGGTATAGCTGCACTATGATGGAGGCCTTCTGCGATTCCAAGCTTCATGACCTGGCAGCTGCTCAAAAGAAACAGCTGCCCGACTGGCTGCCGAAGGAAGCGAAGGTCAAAGACGCATGCAGAAAAACTTGCGGCGCTTGTGGTAAGCACACTATTCAGTGGGGCTCCAAATGCTCCAGCCACCCCAAGTTCTTTTTTGGTCTTGTGCGATATTCCGGAATTGAAGGTTAATCTTCGGCGGACCCAGGCTGTGTGTCTGTGCGCTTCCACCTGCATTGTCTAAAGCATTTCTCAAGCCATCCTGTAGTGAGGCATTTTTCTTCCTGCGGATGTTTCTGCCTGTCTGTGCAGATAACCGCCGGCGACTACAGGCTGTCTCGGGGTCTCCTTTGTCCTCCTTACCTTTGTTGATTGACGCTGGCGTCCTGTGGACTCGGACGGCTGTGCCCTTTTCGAGTTTGCTTACAGATGACCTCCCGGAGAGGTTCCTGTCTGCCTTGAAACAACAGTTCATACAGAGGGGAGTGACACTGATAGATCCCGCGGACAAGTCCCTTGTTTCAGCCGCCATGGCCCTAACTTCACGCCCCTTCGCATTCGCCATAGAAGGCACCGAACAACGACGGCTACCCATAGCCCACTGGGAAGGTGGCTTTGGCTCCTACTCGCCAGCATCTCATTCTAAAGCTGTCTTCGCAGCTGCTGGGCTGCCTATACCGTCTTCTCAGGCTGTTGATCTGCCGCACATCCTCGAAAAAGACGGAAGGAGGCCGGGGCCTCCTTCCTATGCTTCAGTAGACTATTCATTTGGAGAAGCAGCCCCCGTGAATCTGCCACTTCCACCTGGGGTAAACGCCTTACGCGGAGCCTGCTTTGACCCCCTGAGCTACCGATCCGACACCAACAGTTGCTGCAGCCTCCAAGAAGAACTCCAGGTAGGGCTGAAAGCACACTCAGCCCCACGGAGGCAACCTACTCAGCACCTAGCATCAATTTGGAGAAGCTCCCTAACACAGTGCAACAGGCGGGAAAGAGCTTGCGTGGCAGTTTCCTTAATAACCACTGGAGCGTCAGCTGTATATCTGTCCTCGGCAGTAAGTTGCGTGCCTGCGAATACGAAGAGTGGAGCTGCTGCATGCGCCGCACACATGTGAATGAATGCAGGTCTTTGTTGATGGACCTTGTGGAGCGTTGCTGTACGGCCGCCGGCTGACACAGGAGACAGTTGCGGCCTTCTGTGAGAAGCCCGTGGAGGGTCGGTACTGCTGGGCGTCTTTCGTCGCTCGTGTAGATGCTCACAAACAGCGGAACGGGGCAGCCTGCAGTCTCGTTCAGGCTGTAGAAGCCGTGTTGGAGGCATGGTGCTACAAGGACCCCACAAACAACCCCTCTAGGTACTGCTTTGCGCAAGTGGAAGAGGCACTGGAAGCTGCTGACCTTCGGTCCTTGGGTTCAAAGACGTCAAGTCAGCTAGATGAAATCTGCGGGGAAAAGAGTTGTTTCAGGAGCAATCTGAGGTACCTTGACAACATGACATTGCTCCAAACATCGTGGCAGCTAATTCACGCACCGACAGATGAAGGGAGGCAAGGGGACCTGTCTTCATCCCTGCCCGAAATATCTAATGCTTTTGATAGAGTAACTGAAGCATCTGAAACTCGGCGGCTTGAAGGAGGATGGGCTAAGAAGGCTGCCACCTCTAGTCAAGGATTCTATCAGCACAGTCGCCGAGCTATGGACGCCCGCGAGAGAGCGCAGCATCACATGCAGGCGGCTGTCTCGGCGGCAGCTGTCTTCAGTGGATTGCAAGAGCAAACTGAGATGAGCATCAGAACGCCCCTTGAGAGAAGCCCACGCAATGATGGGACAGCCCCCAGAAGGCGCCTAGGCACATTGTCCCGATTTCAGGGCCCCCTGACGGAAACTCTAGAGGAAGGGCTTAACCTCGTGTGCACGAAGGTTGAGAACGACTACTGCCAGCAGACGCTCGTCCTTCTCGCCCAAGAAAGCCCAATAAGAACCCCGTCTCTTCTTTTGGAACCATGCGCTAGCCGCTGTTTCGTGCCGCTAACGGGGGCCGTTGGGGCGATAGTGGAGGCGTACGGCGAGAGGTATCGAGACCCTTGGCACTCCTTACTCGGCTCCGTGATGAGGGCCTATGGACGGTTCTACTGCGTTACGAACGAAAGGGGGGACTTCTGCGGGAGGCACTTCTTTGACAGATACAGAGCAGCAAACCCGCACAAGGTGGCTGCGCAGGGACTGGAGCTGCCACTCCCAGACTGTCAGTGTCCTCACTCCTTCCTTCAAGTAAGATGCAACGTTCCGCATGCACATAAGACGCACCGCCAGGTAGCGGCCAAGTCTCTAACCCTAAAATGTTTCCTTCATGTGCTCGCAGGATGGGCAGTGCGACCCTGAGTGCTTCAACGAAGCGTGCGGGTGGGACGGCAGGGACTGCCTGCCTTCGTCGATGTTCGCTCAACTCCACGCTGCTGTTTCAACTCTCGTAGACCCTACGTGCAGCCTTTATCACCCGGATTTTGAGTGTGGCGGTAAGTGCTTTAAGCAATACGAGACCGCTAGGGGAGTCGGCGGGAGCGGATGCTGCCTGGGGATGGGCCTCGACATTTTAGGGGCCGTAGCAGCGGCTGAGGCAGCGCACCCACTTGGCGAAGTCCCTTGGAAAGTCCGGAGGACGGTGGCCTTCGCAGAGCAAATATGCGGGGCTGCTGCGGACAGAACCTGCAGTCTTGGTGAGCCGAGGCCGCTTCTGCATGTGGAGCTGCGCGTCGTTGGGCTCAACTCCCAGGTCACACTCACAGACGCAGGGAAGGTTGACGAAATCTTCAGGGCACTCGGCACAGCCCTCACAAGGAAGGTGGGGCTGGTAGAAAGGGATATTGCGCGGCATTTTGCTAGGGCAGACCCACAAGGCTTCACTTTGGAGTTCATACTCGACGCTGGGAGGGATCACGCCGCCAGAGTTGCTCAGCTTCTACGGCAGCCAGTGAGCGCGGGCATTTTTGCGTCTGTATCTCTTAACAGCGGGCACCGTTCAGATTTTTCATGCCCCAGAAGACCAAGGTAGCAGTCCAGGGCATCAATCCCACTATGCACATAGGGCTGCTAAGACAGCTGATGCTGTCTCAACATACTCGCGAGACGCCGTGTTCTTGTGTGTCCACCCCTCAGAGTTTGATAAAGGACGTGGAGGCAACGGCGCTTCGACAGCTCGGCCGTGTATCTCTCGCAGCCTACCTGGATCTGAAAAATGGACTACTAGGAGTAGAATTCGTCCCGGACTCATTGGTAGAGGAGCAAATGACTTCGCCCGCTGCTGGGCTCGGCCCCTTGCCTCCGAAGAGGGGTGACGAAGGGCTTCACGAGTTGCCCTTACAGCTTCCCCCTGAACCATGTACTGAGGCGTCATTCGCATCACTGAGCCCGCGATATGTTGCCCTAGAGATACCACACCTGTCAGACAAGGGCGACCCAGAAGCGGTGGCCGTTGCATGTGGTCTGGGCTACTTGCCAACACGAGGCCACGGGGAGGATTCGGATCGCGCCATCTGCGACAATGGAAAGTGGATCCTTCAGGACGGCCTCGACTGCCGCCGCACCTGCACGGATCCACCTGACGCTTCGCTGTATCCAAAAGGAGCGTACACGGTCTCTAAGCCAGAGTGGAGACTGCACGGGCGATCGGCGCCGCGCTCGTTGCAGGCTGCACCAGATCGCAGCGTCCCCTCGGTGAATTCCGGAGAGGCAGCAGTCAGCAATGAAACGCATGGTGCCGCCCATGGCGCTGCCCTGTATGTGCGATGCGCAGACGGGTTTGCGGCTGGAAGGGGTCAAGAAGGCTCGTGGCTGACGTGCATTGACGGTGAATGGAAACTGCAGAGGCCAACATTTAGCTGCCATCGGCTCTGCCCCGAATTCGAGCAACTAGGAAGTGCCTACGTAGTTACGGGAGAGGGCCAACACCAGGGAGACGAGCGCGAAGTGTCATGCACCCGAGGCTACTACCCGCAGAGGCGTGTGCATCGCCTTGTTTGCTCTGACGGCAGCTGGCCGGCCCTTCCATTCAGCTGCTCTCGAGCAATGACTCCTGACCTCCGGGAAGGGGTCGGCGGGTTTCAGAAAATCCTGCAGCAAATGTTTAGTCGCGAAGGTATTCTCGGCTTTATCGCGTTTTCTATCCTCATCCTCGCCGCCACTCTCATTGTAATCCTTTGTTGGCTTTTCTGCTGCCGCGGCCGAGCGCACCGCCGGCAGCGGGAGAGGGCAGAGGCGTTGCAGGCGCTTAAGCTGGCAGGCGTGCCCATGAGCGAGTTGGCGGCCGTTGCAAGGGCCAGATTGTGCATGCCTACAGGATCCTCCTGCGCCTCCTTTGTAGATGAAAGCAACTTCAGTTCGTCCATTCGTTCTAATAAAAAACGTGGGAGTCGAAAAACCAGCAGAAGTGACTGCAGTGCAACCAACTGTCAAGAAATGGTTGACCTCAGCCGCCGCATACCTGCCCGGCCCCCAGGGGATGCTGTCGTACCACCCCCAAGTGAGGCGGCGCCGACAGGACGCAGCAGCCAGCGAGACCCAGATGAATCGACCCCTGTCCCCGACTGGCTTACTGAGGAGCGCGTCCTGCCTGCACAAGCTGTCCGAAGGGCCACGGATCCTAGGTGCTATTCGGCTGCCCCGGCCACCTTGAGCAGCCTCAGCAGCACTCGTGATTCGTCCATCCCCCGCAGTAACCCATGCAACAATGGAGCAGCCGATAACTGCCATCAAGCGGTCCCTTTGCAGGGAATGGCGCATGAGGCCTCTTCAGAAACCACTGACGCAGAGATCGAGCTGATGCATAGTCGGGAGGAAGAAGCCGCAATCGCATCACTGCAAGAAGCGGCTGCGGTAGAAGAACCCCAGCAGAATGGTGTGACTCCCACGTAGGGGTTAGCAGACGCTTCAGCTGCCTCCGCAATTAGGGAGCCCAATGAATCTCCACGAACTGAAGTGCTATTACCAGCGCAGCACGGCATTCAAGTTTTGCTACCGTACGAGCCTTTAGGCCTTATCTCTGCCAGCATTCTTCTACGGGCATCCCTGGACATTTGCATCCACTGCTTATGTTAGGCATTTGCAAGCCAGGCCAGGCTATATGAAAAGTGAGAAGGTTAAGCTTTCTACTCGAAGCTCGTGCTGGGCTTGGCATGCCTGCGAACCCAGATGTGAGGACTGAGTGCGCTGAATGTACCTACTGTAACTTTAGAACCGTTGGTGAAACTGCTAGGAACAATATCAAGGCTAGCATCCTAGTTGCCCAGCTTTTGCAACACTTGGTCACGGGGCATAATGGCGACTATGCGCATTGATCGTGCACACAGCCCTGCCCCTTTCTCGCCTACGCGGCCGGTTTGGAGTTTCCATTGATGCCTTCGAAGAGACGGCGCATTTTAACGCTGAAAGGCGCACAAAGATGTGGCCCGACCGCTTGCTGGAGGAGCGATACCACCCGCCGCCGCCCAGACTCAAACCCAAACTATTTGTAGAGAACACCATGTCAAGATCTAAAACATTCCTAAAACATTCCTTCTGAGTTGAGCCATGAACACGAAAAGGCGTGGGTAGTTCGCTTTAAACAGAGCTAAAGGTTTCAGTGTCTTCAGTGTTGCTGTTCACTGGTAGGCGCGTCCCGCGGCTACCGGTGCGTATATGGGCGGCTGTAGACTGTTGCTTGAAATGCCGAACTGGGCAGCAGTTACTAGAATGATTTAATGTGCACCGAGATGCGCTTCTGCAAAGAAGAGGTGAGCGTAATGGAAGCGGGCCTTGTGATGATTGCCCCTCCACGCGAGAGCGGGTGTAGAATCATCCCTGCCTCCAGGAAATGGAAAACTCTACTTCTTCACGATTTTGAATCGGCAGTCACCTTGAGGACAGACGGCTTGAAGTTAAACATGATCTGGTACCATCGGCTACCCTGTTGTAACTTGTCCTCCTGCATCGCGGTCACGCGCAGTAAGCGAGGGGCTTGGTTTGTCCTTAGGGTATACCAGGTCTGCCTTGTGCCTTCTGCATCCACGGGGGCAGGGGCCTGCCCGGCCTCCGCAAATGCGGGGACCTCAGTGGTGCCTTTTTGGAGGCCTTCAAGAGTGGCCCTTTCACCGGCTCTCCACCTTACAGGAACGCATGAAGCGGGTTGGCAGAAGGCACAGAGCACGAACAGAAGCATCACCATATACACTACGCATCTGGTGAACTGGAAGCTTCCTGGAGCTACCACGCTGCCTGCTGGTTGGCAGCGCGGGGCGGTTGTTTTACTTGCTTCGGCGCCAGGTGCTCGTTGGAATGGGAGAGCCATGATGAGTAGCCGCAGGCACTTTTTTGGGTCCAATTAGAGTTCTTCTGGAGAAAGAGTACAAAACAGTTAAACAACAGGGTGACACTTGGGCTTATCCTTTCCTTGTCTTTTATGCTTTATGGGTGGCCTTGAGGCGGCGCTGTACGTCTTGTTCCCAGCACGCTTCATCGAATGTACTACAGTAAACTTGATGCAGGTTGTCCGCTCTTGCTCTGGTCTTTCCCGATCCGAAAAACCAAAAGAAAACCTCCAAGTAACTGAAGTTGCTCTCTGTAGGTATGCCTATTTATTCGCAGCACAGTCTCTGGGCTTAGCCAGCTAAATGCGCACGAGCGCGTCCCGCAAGCGGAGAGACCATTGGGGGTTCACGGTCTGCTTGAAGGATGAAAAGCAAGCGATGAACATATGGTATAGGACAACTGAAAACACGTTAAATTCCAAATTATTGTTGGGACTTTATGGAGTTATAATACTGAGTGAACGCAAAAATTTCAGTTTCAAACCGCATTGGTCGCTTTGAGCAAATACTGCATTCCTCCGCCTGCGCGCCGAGCCCGATATATAGCTTATGGTAGTCCTGCAACGCTGCCATTTCCTATCCAAAGGTCTTTTTATTATGATACGCTGCAAAACCTAAACTATGAGTCCTGAGTTATTACAGATTGCTGAGTACTCTGCTCCTCCACTTCAGCCCGCAGCCTTCCATGTGGCGGTGCACCCTGGTCTGGTAGATACTATGAAATTGCCCCATCATCCTTTCATTTAGCCTTCAATATGGGAAAAAAGGTGAACTTAGCGTTTTCATGCTGTTATGGCCATGCTATGCCATGCACGGAAGCTGCGCAGGTCACGGACAGCAAACCGCTTACCAGGTGCAGCAAGCTCTGGCTGATGTTGTTACATGTATCTCTACTTGCATGCAGGTTAGCTACTAAGATCCAAGCAAGCATTTAACAATTATATACAGTGTTGTTGAACTCACAGAAAGGGTGCTTGAGTTTACTCGTTGTTGGGGTGTCCTTGCAGCACGGGCTGCAGCACGTTCGCAAACGGCCACCTCTCAGCATCCGCCCCAGATTTTGCATAGCATTTTCTCATGCGTACTTTGCATCATCCAAGCTGACCGTAGACCTACAATGCTCTCCCGTTCGCTTGCGGGACGGGCTCTTCGGTGTTTTTCTCTGGCTACAAGCTCAGAGACTGTGCTGTTTGCCGGTAGGCAGACATACAAAGAGAAACCACATTTATTTGGAGCTTTTCTTTCGATTTTCGAGTCGGAAAAGGCGAGGGCAAAAAGAGCCAACCTGTATCAAGGTTACTAGCGAGTTTGATGAAACCTGCTGGCTCCCTGCGCCGTCTCAAGGCCACCCACAAGGCATTAAGACAAGAAAGTGATAAACACAAGTCCCATCCCGTTGTTGAAGTGTTTTGCAAACTTTTTCGAAAAGTGCCCTATTTAGGTCAAATCGCCCTTAACCAGTGCTTCCGCCCGCTCATCATTCCCCTCCCCATTCGACGAGTGCGATGCGGTCGGCTCTACACGCTCCACTGGATCCCGAATAGCTCCTTCTGACCTACCGGGTGCTTCTACTCTCTCTGCATCCAAGAGTGTGGCTAGTAGCCTGCTTTTTGCTTTTTTTTTCGAATTGTCGCTTTGCTGAGGGGCCATTGCTCCAACAGCTGCATCGATGACATCGGCTGCTGGGAAGAAGAGTGCGCTAAAATCATGAAGCGCTAGTACTTGAGGTGATGCCAGATAGCTAGTAAGACTTTGGGCTACCCCCCAACAATCTCTTTCAGAGTATGTTAATTCTACTCCTTGAGAAAATTCTCTAGAGGGGTGGTAATGCCTACGAATCTGACGGTGCAGTTCCTGTAGTACAAACAAGAGACAAGGGAACTTGGATGTGCCAGCGGATTCGTAATTATTCTGTGGCCGCACTGTTGCAGTTACGTTCACGAGCCCGAGTGGCATCTAGTACATCTGAGAAGTCGTCCTACTGCTTCCACGTATGCTGTTCGTCGGGCCGAAACATAATTGAATCCCCCCAAAATCGCGGCCATCTTATGACCATCACAACGCAGTGCATGCATTTTTGGGCTGGTTTGGGTAGAGCCCCTTCGATGCGTTGGAGTCATTCCACCCTTTTGTTATTGTGACGCTGATTGCAATCCTCTTTCGGTAGAGGCTGCGAAGGCTGTTGTGCGGGCTGCGAGGTACTGTCTCTAATTGGGCACAGAGCTCAACAGTGCCCTTTGAAGGCCGTCTAACAATCAAGCCACGGTATGTCTACGATTATGTCGTGGTGTGCTGCTCCAACTTCAAAATCCTGCACCACTCCAGTATGATCCATACCTGAATTGCGGTCCGATATATATATATATATATAGTTCTACTTACCTACGTGTTCTGTCAGCTATCTGCGAAAGGCAGTGTCCAATACCCCTCAAACGAATCTATAGTTAAGCTGAACCTCCTCATCGTAACTTCAGATATCTGAACGCCTTCTCACCCTGTGTCAGTATCGCGGGCAGGTACTGTGCCTTCGTAAGGACCGAACATGGATGCACGCGGCCATAACTCGAAGAGGATAAGAAGGTGGGGCTGTTTTTTCTCTCAGCCTTACTAATGCACCGCAAGTTACATTGCGGCCAGCGACGCGGGCTCGTATATCCCTTGTATCCTAGCTATATCAACATGTGGGTAACAGCCAACATCCAGAGATATGACACTTATTGCCATTGCTCACGCAACTTGTGCCCACGAATTCAATATTGTTTATTTGAAAAAATGAATTTAGTATCTACTTCGCATCAAATTCTAATCAGATTCAATATTCTCTTTGCCCTAGCATGCAGTGCAAACAGCATGGTGGCAGCATGGTAGCGGAAGGTGATCGCTGTCACAATCATTGGGGGGGTGACGTGGGAAAATATACAAGCCACAGCCCCAGAGTGTAACTCAGATCAGTATACAGTAAACAAGCATTACGTGCTTGTATTGTATTATAGCATTCTTCCGGAGTAAAGTTGGCAGTGGCTGTAGGGTCCTTCTACAAGGCAGCACAGTCTCCTTTTTAGCCCACAACTTCCGTGTCGGGCGCAACGCGCGGGTGCTGCTTTGCTGGCGAATCTGCAAAATTCAGCTCCGAAGTGAAGGATTGTTCAATACCGAATTGAAGGGGTGTGGCAGTACTGACAAGAACCAATTATTGCTTTGGTTCGGGTCCGGAGATAGAATCCTCACAGGAGCGACCGTTGTCTACACTATCCAGCGAAGTGGGAAGGTGCTGCGCATCACTTCGATCCCTTTTTAAAGGGGGAGCAATATTTTCGCATTGGCTCGCATACACAGGCTGTTCCCGTGGAAATGTGCCTTCTTTTCTGGCTCTCTTCCGCTTTGGCCTTGCTGCTGGCAGCAGTTGACACGGCACGAGGCTCGAGTCCCAATGCGCCCCTGCTGAGGCTGACTGTTCCCGAAGATGGCACTTCCAAACATTTCGAAGCGTCGCTGCAGCGTGACAGCGCATTCGCCAGTAGTAGTAGGAGTAGTCGGCAGAACACATCCGTGTTCGCTGTGCACGTCGCT